GTGCGTGTGTGGGTGTGTGGGTGTGGGTGTGTGTGTGTGTGTGTGTAAATATTTTTATATATATATATATGTATATATATAATCACATGTGTGTATATGTATATCAACCAAACGAATCCGAGCTGACTCGGCCCTGGGGACAACTCGGCCCAGCTGCCAAAACGATCATTTTTGGTCATTTTTGGTCATTCTACCCTAACCCTAACCCTAACCCTAACTCTAACCCTAACTCTCCCCTACCCCTAACTCTAACCCTAATCCTACCCCTAAACCTAACACCAACCATAACCGTTTTTTGCAGCTGGGCCGAGTTGTCTTTGGTCAGAGTAAGCCCGACTCCATATATATATATATATATATACGAGGTAAAAGAAAACCCACGCGTTGGAAGATGAATAAAATGAAGCGAAGAATTCTTGCTAGTTTTATGCTTATATTATTGAATTGGTTATTATTCAAGCAAAATTTTGTTTGGATGACTTCTACCTTCTCAATACAATATACGCGGAACAATAGAACAATGAGACAGAGAGAGGGGTGTGGTGGTGGAGGGGTGAAAAAGAAAGATGAATTTTAATTCCATGTCGACATTTTCTTATCCCACGTTTCACTCGGTCACCAAATAGATTCTATTTTTTCTCTGTGGATGTAAAACCCTATGGTAAATGATCCACATAGCTCTTAGTGTAAAGGTTGGAGATTTGCCAGATCCCAGCCTATGCATTAACGTCATATAGGGAAAGACATTAATCAACATTTGCCCTTCTCTACTCAGGTGCCAAATGTGCCATATGGGTACCCGATCATGTCGGTAAAATACGGTAGTCATTGTAGCTATCAAATGGTGGCTGGCTTGAAGTGGAAAACGTTCAAAAAATAGATATTGTTTGCGTGGAAAGCCTGGATCCGATAAACGGGTTATTAAAAGCGCTTAAAGACATCGTCGATGGATTAAGTGCCTTTTTTAAACCCAGAAATATTGTATTTTTGCTATTTATATCATTATTATTATAATGACGATGATGATGACGATGAAAACGAATATTATCACTTTAATTGGTATCATTGTGTTTATTATCATTGATACTATTTTTACTGTTAACATTATCATTATCATAGTCACCATTATTATCTGTATTTGCGTTAATGATGTGATGATAAAAACGGATGACATTCAAAGAAACATTGACAGTTCTCGTACTCACTCGTCATCATGAAAACGACATACTCCATGGACAGAAACTATCTTTACTGTTATCATAACAGTTCTCGTACTCACTTGTCATCATGAAAACGACATACTCCATGGACAGAACTATCTTTACTGTTATCATAATCATTATCATAGTCACCATTACTATCTGTATTTGCGTTTATGATGTGATGATAAAAACAGTTGACTTTCAAAGAAACATTGACGGTTCTCGTACTCACTCGTCATCATGAAAACAGCATACTCCATGGACAGAATAAAACCAACCGTCTGGTAATGAGAATCTAATCTAAGGACGAGAGACGGCATGAGAACACCGAACGATTTCACCGCGCCTTGCTGAAGCGCAGACAGGGTAAACCTCGACAGAAGAATCACGAAACGCCACGGATCGGTCGCTTTGTCGCCGGGGTGGATCCCAGAAACCGCCATGCTAGGAGCTAACTATTTCACAATAAGGTCGGTAGCTTCACAGTAAAGCTCGTGGTGTTAAACTCTCAGGTTGTTTTGCAGTTAAGGATCGCGGGGACACGTTGGAGTATGTACTTAAAGTAATAAAAACAACGTGTTATGATTATCACAATAACTTCAATGCTGACTACAAACGGTCTTCCTTTGAAGTTGATGTGCTGCGCGGACGCAATTAACTTCGGAGTTTCGCAAGGCCTATGTTACAATTAGTGACCGTTTGATTAGCTTCATTGAAGGTTAAAACTTTGAATATTCTTCGTTGGGATCCTTATGTGAACTTGCGTAGTTGTTCATATATCGTTAGAGATTTCGGAAATTAGTTAACGAGTACGACGGTTCTACGCAAGATGTGCATTGGTCTAGCGGCACGTTCACTTGGTCAGCTCAAACTGGTTCAGATGACCCCGGTTCAAAAATAAGTCACCTATTTTAATAATGATATATCTGATCATTTCCTAATATTTCAAATAACACAAAAACAGTTTCCTATCTATAAAATGTCTGTATATAATTATCGTATTATCAATGATGTATCTCTCAATGTTTTCAAAGAGGAATTGTTACGTAATGACTGGAATATTTTTAATTATACCGATGTAGTCGTAGCTTATGACAAGTTTTCGACAACTTTATCATTACTTTATAACAGAGCATTTGTAAGGAAAACTTTTAAATCTGTTCGTAAAAAGAGTAGAAAACCGTGGATTACATTTGACTTGTATAAAAAGATAAGGAATAAAAATAAAGTATATAGAAGGTATTGTCATTCACCAACAGAAAATAGCAAGAGGAAATACGTTCAAATACGGAACTACACTAATAAGTTATTAAACCTTGCACGTAAAGACTACTACAAGATGAAATGTTATGCAATAAAGGGAAATATGAAAAAACATGGCAATTAATCAATGGTATCCTGGGTAAATCTCACAATGCCTTACCTAATTTCATAAATGTAAATGGGAAACAAATATCTAATTCTAAAGATATTGCCAATCATTTTAACAATTTGTTTGTAAATATTGGTCTGTCTTTGAAAAATTCCTTATCCTTAGGCAATACTGACAAATTTGCCAAATTTTTACCAAAGCAAAATTCCAATTCTGTATATTTTAAAGCTGTATCTGAAAAAGGAAATTATTGATGTAGTAAAGAAATTGAATTGTACAAATAGTTGTGGCATTGATGAATTCAATCCTGATGTCATGAAGAATGTAATACACTATATTGTTACACCATTGTGTTATATTTTCAATTTATCGATTTCTACTGGAGTTGTTTCCTTTAGATTGAAAATTGCAAAAGTTGTACCTGTTCATAAAAAAAGTGATATTCATAATGTTGATAATTATAGGCCTATATCTATACTTCCTTATTTTTCAAAAATCTTAAAAAATCGTCTATAATCGTACATATAGCTATATATGTACAAATTCTATTTTGAATGATAGTCAGTATGGTTTTTTAAAGCATGTGTCGACAGAAATGGCAGTTATTGATCTTCAAGATTATTTAATTAGTGTATTTAATTTTAAAAAAATGCATGCTGTTGGTGTTTTCTTAGATTTAAGCAAGGCATTTGATACAATTGATTTTTCTATATTATTATCCAAACTTGCCTGTTATGGGATAAGAGGTTTACCACTCCTCTGGTTCAAAAGTTATTTACATAATAGAACTCAATGTGTGTCATTTAATGGTGTTTTATCTGATTATTCGTGAATCTCATGTGGTGTGCCACAGGGGTCAGTCCTGGGGCCCCTTCTGTTTTTACTTTATATTAATGACTTTCCATATTGTTCTGATAAATTGAAATTCATTCTTTTTGCTGATTACACCAATATCCTCTACACCTCAAATGACATTGGATCTTTATATAGCACGTTTAATATTGAATTGCGGAAAGTATCGAATTGGTTTAAATGCAATAAATTAATCTTGAATGCTGGAAAGTCAAAATTTATATATTTTCATTCCAAATATAAACCGGTTTCTACAGAGCTCCTCAATTCATATCAAATAAAAATGGATGATAATGTTCTTAATCGTGTTGCTAATACCAAGTTTTTGGGTATTTTTATTGACGAAAGCTTATCCTGGATAACACATATATCCCATATTAATAAGATAATGTCAATGAATACTGGTGTCATCAGCAAACTCCGCCATACTTTGCCTCAATCTGTTCTTCTTATGTTATACAATACACTTATATTACCGTTTCTTAGTTATTGCAACATTGTTTGGGCAAACACATACCCAACCAAACTGCATCGTTTATATATTCTACAAAAGAGGGTTGTAAGAAATATAACGCTATCTCATTATCAATCTCATTCAAGACCACTTTTTAAACAACTTAATATATTGAATGTATACCAGTTAAATGAATGTGCTATACTTATATTTAAGAACGAAAAAAGTCTGCTTCCTGAAAACTTATCCGATATGTTTATAACAAACAGTACAATACATAACCATAATACGAGAAATAAGAAGGAATATCACCGATGGTGTGTTAATACACATTTTGCATCATATTCTTGCAGACATCATGCACCTGAAATTTGGAACTTGCTTCCAACTAATATAACTTCAATCTCATTTTACAACAGTTTTAAACGTAATCTCAAAAGTTTCTTGATTGCGCATGACTCTCACTGAATGTATTTATCTAGCTTGTTACCCCTCTCTCTTTCTCTTTCTCTCTCTTTCTTTCTTCCCCTTTACTATCTTCTGACTTTTTCATCCTACCATGTTGTATATCATGTACTGGGTTTGTGCCGGTTGTTATGCAATTTCTGAATGATACTATTCGAAACTTTACTTGCTACTTGTTTTCTTACTATGCTGTCCAGACAAAACCTTTTGTTGTTTTTTTTACAGCTGTGCCTTATTCTGTTTTGTATTAATTCATTTCACATGTATATACTATCCCAATTTATGTATCATATTGTACATGAAATTATATGTTTTTTACTTTGTAAAAATGTTTTTAAAGATGGAATTCAATAAACTGAACTGAACTGATTTCGTAAAAGGTCGGTCCCCAGACTTAAATAATCATATCTGGTTGATACACTTCCACAAAAAAATAATTACACACCAAAAACACACACACGCAGTAGTCACTGCAAGGAGTTGAACAAACCAACTCTGAATCTATCGTAGGAGCCTAGCTGCTGGTGTCAATCAGCTCCTGGCCTGTCTGTTTGTGTCATTGGAAACTGCATGTCAAGTGGGGACAGTTATACGAAACCGTGTTGACCTCTTAAGATGGTCACTCTTGACCCATGCAATGACATCTAATCTCGAT